AAACAAAAGTGGGGAATTTTCTAGGACAACCTCCTGAGTCCTTAGACTGTAAAGACCCACCCCTTGTTTAGCAGGATAAAAATAAACCATTTTATACTCAGGCACCCAGTAGTGAAATTAGATAATAATTATTCCTGAGAGAATCTGACATACTCTGATAAGACATACTCTGAATAAGAATCATGTTGACAGTAGTGTTACTAGCAAACTAGATGGGAGAAGAGAATGAAAACAAAACAGAACACTCAAAAAAGTGAATAGAACAATAGGTTCAAAGTGCTGAGGAAAGATTAAACTTGGTGTTCAAAACTCAATCACTGAAGAGGGGAAAATAATTTTCACATTGCCAAAAAACTGTATAGAAGTGGGTGCTCTCCTTCTTTAAGGACACACAGTTAAATATGAACCCATGGAAGCCAATGCAAGGGAGGAAAGGGAAACCAGTGCCACTCAGGGCAGGCTGCCCAGAGGAGGAAGGGATTTGGAGTTAGATTTTGCTAGGCCAAATTCAGTTCAGAAAGCAGCCTTGAGAACCTCCTATGAGTATGCAAGTAGAATAGCTGGGTTAAAGGAAGGTCATTCCTGTCAGAGAGGAGGGGAGGTGAGGAAGAGCCAGCTTGGCCAGGGGGGCTCTGGAAAGCAGTGGAAGTAAGGCTGAGGGGCAGCTGTGGGAGGGTCAACGCTTGAGCACATAAAGGAAACATGGGTTTCTCATCAGATTGGGATGTGCAGTTTGAATATCCCAAAGCTAAAAACCTGAAATGTTTCATCCAAAATCAGGAACTTTCTAAGTGCCAAGATGAGGCCAGAAGTGGAAGATTCTACATTTTCAGTAACAAAATAAATGAAAATAGTGCTTGATAAGTGTGAGCTATTGTGGTTCTTATTTACATCTTGTTAGAAGACATATAGATCACAAAAGGAACCTCCATTTCTCTTAATTCAATGAATGGAAAGATTTGTATTATTCGTGTTTGTGGACAGGATATCATGTTTGCATCTTGGACTATGAATAACCACTAAGAAGACAACAATATGCAGTGTATTAATTATTGAAACTGTCCTACTAATTGGTTTTGAAACTGTCTCATTGTTATTTGTTTCTCAATAAAATTATTTAAAACAACAACAACAACAACAAAAAAAACAAAAACAAAAAAAAAACAAAAGGAACCTCCAAGCCAGGGAAGCTACACAAACATGAGTTTGCACTGAGACCTGACAGGTTAGGCAGGAGTTAGATACAACGGGTACCAGCTGAGATGGGGTGGGATGTCTTCCTGTAGGGCTCTACTCAAGCAGTTTACTTCCTCGGAGGTCCATAACCTGATGGATGAGCTTATTAAGCCAACAAATGTTCAGCAAGAATCTTCTAAGCCAGGCTTCATGCTAGACATACTCCTATGAAAACCATAGACAAAATTCCTAACCCAAAGAGTTTGTGTTCTGGATGGACAATAAACCACCCACCCGCCTATCCAACCACGTATCTACCCAACCAGCAAATTAATGAAGACCCTGAAGCTAGAGTTTGATGCTCTGGGAAGCCAGAGGAAAAAGAAAGTATGTACTAGCTGCAAAGGTGACTGTGAAAGGCACTCTGAAGTGGTGAAAGGAGGCCTACTGAGCTGGATGGAAGGGTTCTGCAAACAGTTGGACTCTTGCTGTGACAGAGAACCTGCCTTGGAGTGGATCTGAATCTGACACTAGAACCTGGAAGCACAAATTCTACCACCAGCTCTACAAACAAGAATTTCTGGGCATTCAGCTATTGTACCTTTATTTGTCTCTGTTCCCTCACTCACAGAATGGGGCAGTACATTGATGCTGTCAAGTAGAGCTGAAAGGTAGTGGGGGGGGGGGTTGTAAAGGAGTACAGTATTAGGACCCAGGGACTTCTGGATTCAGCAGTGGGAAGGTGAAGTGGGCCAGAGGCTATGAGACTCAATTCTGGGATCTTCATTGGAGCAGAGGTCACAGGCCTTGTGCTGTTGAGGCCACCTTCCTCGTGCCTGGAAAAAAGTCTGAATGGAGCCAACCTATGAGAAACTTTCTTGAAAGAGGAAGTCCTGCTGCTATCACATGCGTCTGAGCAAGCACCAGGGCTGAAGGCAGAACTACTACACCTGCGTCACGGTGAGGCTGACGATGGTTTCTTCCCAGGCGGCGTGTGCAAGTCAGCACAAAGAGCAGGTGTCTACATGTTAAAAGCATGCTTTCAGGTGCTATGTGTTCACCAGCCCAAGTCCCGCCTTTGGGCCAGTCTCTCCCGCCACTGTCTCCTTTCTTCCTTGCTTCCACAGTCAACCTCTGTGAGTTCCTTGCAACCACTGTTTGTACTTCTTCACTTCTCATGCTCTTTCGTTTCCCTTGGGGTCTGCTTGATTTTTCCCCACCTCTTAATGGACTGCTCTTGCCAAGTGACCAGTGACTTCCTTCCTGCATCGCGAAAGCACCTTCACAGGCAGTGGCACTGTGAGTGTCTGGCCTCCGCTTAATGCTCCACTGCTGCCTGCTTCCCCCCACTACTCTGACTCCTGTCCAGACCGTCCTTCACCTGCCTGACCATCCAATGCCAGTGTCTCCCAGCTTCCTTCCCAGCCCCGTTATCTCCTCCTTCTTCCTGGTTTAATCCATCTACAACTTCTATTTGCCATTAACAGGGTGACTTTTCAACTTCAGACATGACACCCAGATGTCCAGCAGCAGCAGCACTGCCTGGCTATTCCTCAGGTAGCTCTGCTTCCCCACATCTAACACCAGCCTCGTGGTCTTCTCCACACCTTATCCCTACCCAGTATTGCTGTGATAACATCTTAAACATCCCTGACACTTTGATATGTTAGGCACTTAACAAGGGTGCATAATGAATAATGATGTGGGGCATATTCTTCTGTAACAGGTTAAGACAAAACTCAGAATTGCCCAAATTCTCTCCCTGCAGCCACTGATGCAAATAACAGCAGAATCAAAACACAAAAGGATTTTTTTTTTTTTTTTGGTGAAACATCAAGATGCCTTAATGCCCCTGGAAGCAGGGTCAAAGCAGAGTCCATGGGCTCTGAGGACACTGGCCAGAGGATGCCAAGCCTACCTTCTGGGTGCTGTGTACAGGAAGCCCAGGCCAGACACAGTAGAGGGTGGTGTCACTAGCACTGTGGGGGAAGGGGAAAGAGTGAAGAAAGGGAAAGGAGGGAAGAGGAAAAAACGACCCCGAAGGATGTGTTCTAAGGTGGGTGGGTCAGTGGTACCCATAGTCCTAGGCTTTCACACACTCTGGAACTATGTTCTTTAGCAGACAGGGGAGGGGATAAAACTCTGAGCTTGTGTATACCAGCTAAGTGCTCTTCAGGGTCAAGAAAAGCACCTTGCACACATCTCCATGGTAGGTACTCTATGGATACTATCATTCCTTGGTACCTACGGGGGGAAGGGTTCTAGAACCCCATGGATACCAAAATCAATGGATGCTTACGTCCCTAACATAAAATGGTGTCATATTTACATAGAACCTACATACATCCTGTTACTTTAAATCACCTGACTTACTTACACTGTAATATCTAAGACAATGTAAATACTATGAAAATAGTTGCTATATCTGGTATACTCAGTACACAGGTTTTTCATAAATATCTTCTGTGGTTAGTTGGTTCCCCAGATGCATAACCCGTAGGCACAGATGGTAGACTGTATTTGTCGCAGAGAGGAACATAGTAAATCTGTCTCCCCAGATGGTAGGCAGCATCTGGCCCCTGCATATACATGACACAGTGGAGGTGGGGTATCCATTTCCGGCTCACCTGCTTTGCCCATGGTTTCAAGAGCCACCTTCTCCAAAGGTTTTTTTTTTTCTTCTGGTGGAACTAGGGATTGAACTCAGGCCTTGCGCTTGCCAGGGAAGCACTTATTCTACTGAGCCATCTCCCCGGCCCCTCTCCAAAGGTTTCTAACCCCCAGTCCCTGTGGGCATCTCATTGCTTGCTGGCTTTCTTCTTTTTTCATTCATCATTCATTCATTCATTCATTCATTCATTCATTCTTTTGGTACAGGGTCTCACTACGCAGCTCAGACTTGTAGTGATCCTCCTGTCTCAGCCTCCCAGTGCCAGGATTTTATTATTTATTTATTTATTTATATTTATATATATATATATTTTTTTTTGCGGAACCAGGGATTGAACTCAGGCCCTTATACTTGCCAGGCAAGAGTTTATTCTACTGAGCTATCTCCCCAGCCCCTTTTCTTAATTTTATTTATTTATATTTATATTTTATTTATTTATTTTCCAGTGCCAGGATTATAGGTGTGCACCATCACACCTGGTTTCGGTGGCTGGCTCAGTGTGTGGCTGGCACGGCATGTGGTACCAGGGATCAAACTCCAGTCCTTGCGCTTGCCAGGCAGGTGCTTAGATCACCAAGCTATCTCCCTGGCCCCATGCTCTCTTAAGAGAATGAGAAACACCTAAGAGCTTTAACCTAATGAGAACAGCAAAGAAAAATGCAAGAGGAGCAAGGATTTACTCTGAGCTTAATCTTGTGATCAGAGCAGATATGCAGAGGAAATGGGAAGAAAAGCAGAAGCAAGATGGGAGGCAGGAGGTGATTAAGAGAAGAAAAAGGAATACAACCCAATTTCAAAGAACCACACAGTGTACAATTCCACCTATATCCAAAGTCCCAAGGGGATAAATCTAAAGGGGCAGAATCGTTGGGAATAGGGTTGGGGGGAAATGGAAGGGAACTGTTACTGGGCCGGGGTTTCTTTTTGTTCTGGAATTAGATAGCTGTTCTGGTCGTGCAACTCTGTGAATATAAGAAACTACTGAATTATATTGCACTTCTAATTGATAAAATTGCTTGTTATGTGAACTGTATCTCAATAAAGCTGTTAACTTCTCCACACCCTAGCTTTCATATGCAATAGGTAAGAGGAGGAGAGAAGCCATGCCTGTCATCAAGAATGACAAGCAGAGAGGGAGAGCAGGCGCACACACCTCAACCTTCAGGCCTGCCTGGAAGCTGATGCCATCTGGGATGGTGGTCTGGAACTCCGCGATGGTGTAATATTCTTCCTCTACCTGCGGCGGGACAGGAGGCTTCGGCAGGTTGAGACCTCGAGGCTGGCAAAATTAAAAGCAGGGCTAACCGTTACCTGAATGTGAGCCAGGGGACTGTGGCATACAATCACCACAGAGACGGTGCTGGTGGACCTATCTATTTATTTCTTTGGCAGAACCGGGGATTGAACTTAGGCTCTTGCGCTTGCCAGGCAAGCACTTATTCTACTGAGCCATCTCCCCAGCCCCAGGTGGACCTATTTAGATTCTAATAGTAAAAAACAAAGAGGACCTGACTATCACCTTCTAGAAGAGATTTCACTGGCCTTTCCTGAGAAACCCAGAATATCTGGCTCAATGTTGAAAAGATGGGGTAGCATTTTACTCTGAATTGAAGGAGCAGTTGGGGCTGTGGAAATAACACAGATTTGCAAGTCACATCCATCTGACTGGACATACAGATGATGGGCATGACCTGGGGCCTTCCCCTGCTGGAGAGCTCAGTTTTATCACCTGTAGAATGGGTACAACAATAGTATCAAGCTGGTGTGCTCCCTATAAGTAGGGTTTTTGTTTTTGTTTTTTTAATTTTGAGACAGAGTCTCTCTGAATAGTTTATGCTGGCCTTCAGCTCACTATGTAGTCCAGATGGTCCTCACACTCATGGCAATCTTTCTGCCTCAGCCTCCTCAATGCTGGGATTACAGGTATGTACCATAAGTATTCACTGCATGGGCCAGGGAGATGGCTCAGTGGAATAAGCGCTTCCTTGGCAAGTGCAAGGCCCGAGTTCAATCCCTGGTTCCACGAAAAAAAAAAGTGTTCACTACAAGTATTCAATAAGTTAATGTGGTACACATGGTGTACTGCATGGTACCCAACAGGTGCTCGCTCAATAGATAAAAAAGACAAAGAGAAAGAAAAGAAAAAAGAAGAAGAGGAAAAGAAAAGAAAAAATTCCTGTTTTTCCAAGTAAAGGTTGAGTAACCTTTATGTGAAGTGGTTGGGACCAAAGTGTTTGGATTTTACAGAGCTGCATACACATACTGAGATATCTTGGTGATGGGTCCCGAGTTTAAACATGAAATTCATTCATAGTTCGCATGTACGTATCATGCAACCTGCCACTTGAGGTCAGGTGTGGAATTTTCCATGAATGCTGTAAAAACAGTGCTGGAAAAGTTTTGCATTTTGGAAGCATTTGAGAATTTAGGACCACAGTTGCTTCACCTACACTGGTTAAGAAGGTAACTAGCAATGTCATATCAATTATTACTATACTCTCTATAAAATACATTTTTAATTTTTTTATTATTATTATTTTTTTTTTGGCGGAACCGGGGATTGAACTCAGATCCTTGCGTTTGCCAGTCAAGCACTTATCCTACTGAGCCATCTCCCCTGGCCCCTAAAATACATTTTTTAGAAAAAGGTAATAAAATAAAAAGAGAGACAACAAAAATTTAAGATTTCTTAAAAGCATGTGATAATATTCAATCATATATCCAATCTTGCATAACTGTATCTATTAATCTGAGCAACAGATTTGATGATAAAAATAGATAATATATCAACCATTGTTAATTAGCCATTCTTGTTTTGAAAATCTGTAACATGTATTGTTGTATGCTACCCTGTTTCTGTCTTTGTTTTTGTTTTTCTTGCTTTTGTTTATAGTCTTCAAAATAAAAGAAAATTATAAGAAAGAAGGTACCTAGAGAATTTAAAAGGGGTATAATATAAATGACACCATAAATGATATTTATGTTGCATCCAAACTTGCACATTGAGGGGGCCAGGGAGACAGCTCAGCAGCATGAATGTCTGCCTGGCAAGTTCAATGTCTTGAGCTGCCAAAACAAAAGAAAAAACAAACAAACCAAAAACCCCCTTGCACATTGGGACATCTTATTTGAGAAGACTGATCTCTCTGAGAAGAGGGCTTATTTGAGAAGACTGATCTCTCTGAGAAGAGGGCTGAGAGAGAAGAGAGGTTCCAAGGCCTCTATTTGGTATTACACAAATATTCTCTGGATCCTGCGTATGGCATATCACCAGCCTAGACCCATCTTTCTACCTGTTAAGGGGACTGGCTGCACAAGGATGCTTCAAGGACAGGAAAGAACACCTCTGGAAGGGCCAAGGGTATGTGGGGCAGGCTCCCTGGGGCAAAGGTCCACTTACGATGGTCATATCCCGGCGAGGAGGGGGTCTCTGCCTCATCTTGGGTGATCCTATGGAGAAATGAGACTTATTTCATTCCTACACAGAGCTCTACATATAATTCCTGAGGTAGACAGATGTCAGGAGAAGTCCTGTCTCTCCCACAGAGGATGGGTAGAACCTCTGCCCAGGAGACAGCTCGCCACTGTACCTTTCCTACAGGAAGAGTCTGAGCAGGAAGGAGCTATGTGTGCTTGGCCTAGGACCCCTCTCAGCGTAGCTTTGCCTGGATCTCTTTTATGCAGGGACAAAATGGGATGGTACCCAGTCCGTAGCAAGAGAAAGCTTTCCAGTAAGGACAAAAGGCATAGGCCTCAGAACCATACAGAAATGGATACCAACTCAGCTCTGTGGCTCCACACTTCTGGTAGGGGACAAACCAAGCAGATGAAGTGAGAGAAAAGGCCCCCTTCTGTGGAGAGGGACGGCAGGTGTCAGCTCTCAGCAGGTCACAGGCATGCAGCAGTCTCCTGTCTGGTTTTGCGCTCTAGAGCACCTCCAACTAAACAACACATAAACAAATGGGATCAAACAGACATAGGCTGGCAACCTCAGGGATTTTCACTCTGGAGTAGTGCTGCCCTAGCTGTGGGCCTCAGGGGCAGGGGAGGATGGCTCTGAGTAGTCCACGGCTCCTGGCTGAAGGAGGAATGCTGAGCGGGACTGGGCTGCCTTGGGTCTGCACCGCAGGCTAACTTGGAAGCTAGGATATAAAGGAGACTGGCAACCCTTCAAGTGCCAATGTCTTGGGTGAGCCATAGTGAATGGTGGGTAAAGGCAACAGAGTGACAAGATGCTGACCGCAAGGAGTTGTCATGTCTTCTCTGAACATACAGATGGACAGTTTTACCAAAGTTAAACAAATCCCTAGATCATCTGAAATCCTGTAATTGGGGTATGTTATGCAGGTACCTTGGGGAAGGAAGTTTTTGTTTTAGCACCTAAACTTTTCACTTGATTCTCCAGTGTTAACAGGAATCCTCATATGCTCTTGACTACAATAGGTCTGAATTAAAGAGACTTGGGGCTGGCCAAAACTCATGCTGTAGTATCTGAGAAAATACCATCAGGGGAACTAAGCAGAGAACATGAAGTGTCAGTGACTCAGGAGCTTCACTGCCACCTGGCAGACAGCAAGGAGAAGCCCAGCCACGAGAGTGACCACCTTTCTTCGGGAGTTGGAATCCTTCCTCAATGAACAGATTCCTCCAGCCTTACATGACCAGGTGAGGGTCACAGGCACTGTGCTTGAAGGCACGCCTGGGGTACAACACAGAGAATGACAGACCAATTCTCCGGTGTGCGCGGAACAATAAATGATAAAATATATACGAAGAGGTGTTGAAAAGCAATATAAAAAGAACTACTAGTAGAAGGTCAGGTTTTTCCTCCTCTGGCTCAGAAAGGAGGCCGTGGGAGTGGAGAAGGCACAGCTACTGCCTGGGCTCTGGTCCCGGCCCCACCATATGCTAGCTGCATGGCCCTGGATTCACTACCTCACCTGAACCTCAAAAGCAGTAAGGTCCCTCAAAGCTTGTTATGGGTCAATGAGACTAAAGAGAAGATCCTCAGCACACAGTAGGTGCCTTTTTATCATGACACAGCAGAATGATGTCCGTCTGGGGAAGGGAAGCAGCGCACAGACTCATCTGCATCTTGCTGGCTGCACGGTGTGGGCCAAGTCAGCTGGGGCTCGAAGCCTGTTCCTATCTACCTGATGGCAGACAGCAGGGCTGATGTAAGGAAGAGGAAGAGCACGTGAGGAGCTCTGCAAGCGCAGCCTGGCCGCAGTGGGCCTTCGGCCATCAGCTGCTTGGGGAGGCATCACTTACTCTGCTTGATGTCGCCATCGTGCACCAGGCGGCCTTCAAACCGGCCGTCCCTCTGGTTGTTGATCAGCTCCTTCTCTCTGCCCACTGCATTCTGCTGCCGGGCAACACCATCCAGGTCAAGGGCGCCCGAGTGGGCAGAGAAGCCAGGGCCCAGCTTTGGGGGTAAGGGCTCTCCGCTGCTCTTCTTGAGGTAGGAGGCAGGGGCCCAGCCTTCTTTGCCCTGGTACCTGGGAAGAGAAGGGGTGCTGGTCACAGTGGTCTGCTAGGCTCATGGGAAAAAACCATGCTTCTGAAAACATGAATCCTATTTTAGGGCCCAGACAGTAGGAACAGTGGGGCCGAAGCACCGGGGAACAGAGTCCGGCACGCTGCTCACTGCCCTCTGATGATGGCTGAGCTCCCAGTGAGTCGCTCGGGCCTTTCTGACCTGATTTCTGCTTGTCTCTCTCACATCAACCATGACATCCCAGCCACCTGACCCAGCCTGTAGTCCCTCAAGTGACCTCCTCTCACTCCCATGGCCCCCCTACCCAGGCTGACCCCTCCCTTCCTTCCTGGTGAGCAACTGCTCCTCTTGCCTGGCTTCACTTAACATCTCTCCTCCCTCAAGCCTTTTCTGACCTCCGTGGCCCTTCAGCATCTCCTGTGAATACTGCAGTTCCAGCACCTACGACACCCACCTCGTGGTGGCCTTTGCATCAGCTAGAATGTGAGTGCCCGTGTTAAGGAAAGCGGCCAATATGTCTCCATGTCACTGGCCTTGGTGCCAGTGAACTCAATGAAGCAATAAAAGTCCGAGTGAACAAGCTGCCCGTGGGCATGGCACAGAGCAAGCGGCTGCAAAGCTGCCTCCTCCAAATCATTTTTATTTTAAAAAAAGATCTTGTTAAGCTACAAAGTTGTGCAGGCTGGTTCAAACTTCCCGCCTCAGCCTCCTAGAATGATAGAATGACAGGTATATGCCACTACTCCTGGCTTATGACACTCTTACATGATTGGCAGCATGGCAGTCTGTTCATGCTCACATCACCGCGGTGTGCTGTGCTGCACCAGCCATGACGTCACAAGGGTCAGGGAGTTTCCAGCCCCATGTAGTTTTATGGGAGCACCACAGCACATGTGGCCTGTCACTGCTGGAAAGGGTAGCACTGGCACAGGGATGTGTGTGTTAAGTACAGATTTACTAGCATGAGTATCATTCCTTCATATTTCTGACCTGAGGCACCCACCCCAGAAGCCTTTCTGACCCCTAGTGTCCCCCTTTGTGCCCCGTAAGTACCCTGTGCACCTCTTCAACACATCGCTCCTCTCTTACCCTCCTCTGAAGTGGATCGTGAGTCTGACTTGTGCAGGTGTTGGTGTAAACCACTGTGCCTTGCTAAGTGCTACGTCACAGGTGAGTGAGCAGTCTCAGGCTGGTGTGTGAGACGCAGGCTGGCCTAAGGCCGGAGGGGGTGGCTACTCAGTGTGGCAGCTTCACCTTCCAGTTACTCATCCCAAGACACATCTGGAGGCGGAGACCAGTCTTGCTTAACAGGGCTCCCGCTGTCTGTGGTTCAGTGTGTTTGGAGAAGGTTTTGCTTATTATGGATTTTTAGAGCAGCCCATAGGTAGAAGGAGAAGCTAAATAACAGAGAAGCACCTTCTATGGCACAGCAGAGAATCCTTGCTCATCTGCCATCCCTTACAGACCTCCATGCAGCTGGAGGTAGCAGGACCTGAAACCCACCCAGCGACAGCTGTCAGGAGGCTGCTGCCGTGATTACCTGATCTTCCACCAGCCTTCCAGGTTTTTCTGGATGACCTCCACCATGGCCCCTCTCTCCAGGTTCATTTCATCCTGGTCACGAGCCGTGTATGGGTAGATGACTGTGTACTTCTCCTCTGCAGGGAGAGAGGGTTCTGGGATGAGAAACAGAGGACATGCAGAGCCCCAGATGCTCGTGTGATCTGGGTGGTGACAGAGAGGGATAATGCCCTCTAGAGAGTCCTGTGTACCCCGCCCCATGGCCCCCACATAGCTCTGGATCACTCTGTGTCAGCAGCAACAGGAATAGGACAAAGGGCACTCCCAGTGCCTCTGAAACGCCTTGCATCACATCACCCCCACCTCCTTCAAGTTGGTGCTTCAGCGTTGCTATCCTTGGCCACCTTATGTGATGGCCGGAATCACGGCATCCTCATCTCCCTTATTCAGGTTAAAGATCCACCCACCCCATTCCAAGAACTACTTCTAACACACCATAATATTTCTGTGCTTATTGTGTTTCATGCCTGTTTCCTCTGGTAGAATATGAGCTCCGTGAAGATAGGAATTTGTCTGTCCCTTTTATCCCTCTATGTCCAGCACCAGGCATATGCCTGGAAGATTTAGTAACTGAAGACTTAGTCTCTGTTCAGTAAGGGAACAAGTCCTGAAGGCCAGGTGGGAGCCAGGTTGCTTACACAGAGGGGTTAAGCTCCCGGGGCTCCTTGCCAGTTCTCCCTGGCAGATTCGGAGTTCAGAGATAAACTACTGGCAGTGGATGATGTCAAGCTGAAATCATCACTGAGGAAACAGTAGCAGTTTCTCACTGCCGGGCTGGTAAATGACCTTCACTTTTTATTAATGATATCCAAGTCCTGCTTGAGGCTTCAATTATCATTCATGGGAGTGGGGTGCCTTCCACCACACTCCCTGGATGCCCCTGGCCCAGAAGCTGTGGAGCTATCCTCATAGCTCCATGCGCCTCTCCAAGAGCTGCCTCAGCTGTGTCTTCCTGTAGTCCCTCAGGGGCAGGGGCCTGAAGGGACAACTGCTTATGGTCGCTCAGGCAAGGGAACAGCTCCTGTCCCCAGTGGCATTAGCTCTGCTGTTGAAGTGGAGGAAAATAGATGCATATCTCAAGCCTGTCAAGGAGGGGAGGGGGCTGCCCAACTCTGCTCCATTTCAGCTCCTGGGTGAGCTCTAGCCAGCTGCAGTCTGGTGCCCAGCTAGTATGCTGATGCAGACTCCTTGGGTAAATACTCTGTGGTCTTTGTGGCCTGCCAGCTGCTGCAGAAGGAGGTGAAAGTACACAGGGCATTTATTTATGTATTGATTTGGCCTGCTGACCTGCTCTGTGGGCCGGTGCTGACTTACGGCACAGATCCTGTGTTCAGCGGAGTCAGCCATTCCCTTTCTCATGGAAGCCTTGGGGTGGGGTTCTGGGCGCTGACCCAGGAAGCGGGTAGTTCAACTCTGTGGATGTACAGATGTTATTTGGTCCAGGTAAAAGGGGGCACTGCTGTGTCCTCCAGACATTCTCGAGTACCCCAGAGGCTCTCCCTGGGATCTGAGGGCTGCTCAGTGACCCCAGACTAAGCTCAGGATGGAAGCCCTTGTAGACTGCATCATGGGCGCCTGCCAATCTGCCTGTTTGGTTCCCACTTGCCTACCCACTAGAGGTCCTCTCAGCCTCCATCCATGTGGTCAGGGGAGGGTGAGCCCCTCCGTCCTGGAGGGAGGGGGCAGGAGCATTATTCTGGCCTGGCTATAGTGCTGCAAATCTGGCCACTACAGTTGGTTCAGGGATAACATGGAACCTGGGTGGGTCAGTCAGAACCAATCCTGGGGCTCCTGTTACAGAAGCTGTTTCTTTGCTGAAAGTTCATGGAAAGTGCTTGGTAACTTGTCGTTAGGAGATAGTGAGGCCAACAAAGCAGGAAATGGAGTAGAGAGGTGGTGACAGAGGTCCTCATGGCATCCTCACACTCAGGACCCAGCTGTGCTTGCAGCTGGCCCCACCCTGGGTTTGTCAATGACATGAGTGAAAACACCTCTTCTGCCTAACCTGGCTGAGGGAGGCTTTTCCCAAGAGCTCAGTGACTGAGGGAGCAACAAGGTTGCTGGTTCTGCACCACAGAAGACCTCAGGCACCTGATTTTGAGCTGGGACGCTTCAGAGCCCCACGGCTGACAAACACCACAGGCTCGCGCCCCACCAGCCCACATGCTAGTACATACACGATACCGACAAGTCACTGTTTCTCACATGCAGCAGGCAGGGGAGTCCCAGAGGAGGAGGCTCATGCAGATGCAGGGACCCACTCTGAACACCAAGTGGAAAGGAAACTCTGAGGAAGGCACCTTGGCGCCAGCTGATGGCATACAAGTCCCCCAGAGTCCGGCGGCGACCCGTAGGCCGGGGCAAAGACCAGTACCTCCACGAGACTGGACAGGCAGCATGTGGAGGGGAGGGCAGAAGGCAGAGGTGAGAAGGGAGCACTCCTACGACTCCCCTGAGACACCGCTCCCCAGGACATGATTCCTCTAAGTCTCTTCTGAGCCCAGGTGTCTTAGGAAGGCCAAGTGCCTGAGTGTTAACCTGGAGCTTGAATCAAGAGGCATCCAGCAGTGTAACTGTATTCCCAGTACAATTACAAAGAGGCATTAAGAGATACCCTCATAGTACAGGGAAGGAGTATGCCCAAATCCTTCAGAAAAAGTGGTTTCTCCCTCTACTTTCAGCTGTGTGATGCTGGGAGAAATGCTCTGTTTTGGCTGGGGAGATGGCTCAGTAAAATAAGTGCTTCCCTGGCAAGCACAAGGATCTGAGTTCAATCCCCAGTTCCGCAAAGAAAAAAAAAAAAAAAAAGAAAAAAAAAAAAAGAAAAGAAAACAGGAAAAAAAAAGAAAAAGAAAATGCTGTTTTTCTGAGTCCATTTTGGATAAATGGGGATAGTAACCATCCCCACAGAGCATGCCTGTGGTGGTCATCATGTACTGGCTGTGCAAAACAGCGTTCCCATGTCGTGCACCTCCTGCCTCGGATCTGAGCTGCTTCTGCAGCATCCCTAGGTGAGCCTGCCCCAAGGCCCAGAAGGCCCTCGAGACAGCAAAAAAAAAAAAACTCTGCAATACAACTAAATGCACACACCACATACTTTTTTCCCCTTTCTAATCTTTAACATTTAGAAATAGCTCCTCTATTTATTTTATTTATTTATTTGAGACAGGATCTTACAAAGTAGCCCAGGCTCACATTGAACTCTCAATCCTCTTGACTCAGACTTCCCAGTGCTGGGATTAGAGGTGTGCACACCCAGCTCTCACCCTTTTGTGGAGAAATAAGTACTTAAAGTAGCTCTGTGCTTCAGCAATCGGCTCCAAGTCAACACTCAGCCCTAGGTAAAGCTTATCTGATGACTTACTGTTTATTATTTTAGTTCTCTGAATGTAGAAACTCATTTAACATTTTAAAACTCCCATGACACAGACATCATTTCCATTTTCAAGCAGAAGGCTACATTTCAGAGAGGCAAGGTTACTGGCCCCAAATCATTTAGTTAAAATGTGGTATAGCTGAGGTCTACCTGCCCCCCAAAAACCTGTCTGTTAAGGAAGGTGAACACATGTTGTGGTTTCGGGAAGCCTCTAGGGAGGAAGGGAGTGTGTGAGTGTTGGTACTGCTGGCATCTCCACTAAGGACACTACAGAAGAGGGACACACACTTGGGGCCATTTATACCAAAAGATGGCAGACCTCTGTAAACACATGGGGGCAAAGGTCTTGCACATGATCCAGCAGTTCTCCTGGCTTGGCCACCAGAATAATCCTAGGGAGAAGTGGTGATAATGTTGAGGTCCTCCTGGCATCCTATGAGGGTGTCAGGGGATCAGCTATGGCCGGGCTCATGGTGGGTGGCTCCCACAGCAACGAAGGAAGTAGGGGCTTACCCTTCCTCCTAACCAGTTTAAAGTGTGAGCCAATGAGGAGCTGACACCCAGAGGCAGAGGCTAGAAGGAAGGGACTAAGCAAGGAAGCGATGCAACGTGTCCCCGGGGTCCCAGCAGTGGGGCGGGTTGCCTGCCTACCTTCTTCAGGCTGTAGAGAAAATTCATCCTGCACACCATCCTGTCCTTCGAGACAGGTCGCAGGAACCCAGCCTTGCTCCTCTGCAGTGCTGACGAACCACCAGCCTAGGGAAGTGAGAGTGTACAGTGATGTCAGTGGGGCCCAGCGGCACGAGCGTAACAGCACAGTGACCCCTTGGTATGTGGGGGCACTGGCCCTAGGACCCTGGCGGGAAGCACAGTCTGTGGATGCATATGTTTTTATATATATATAAAATAGTGTAGTGATTGCGTATGACCCATACATATCCTCCCACAGGCTTTAGACTGTCTCTGCTTGACTTATATACCTAATACAACGTGAATACTATGTAAATAGTTGTTCTGTTTTATTGCTTAGGAAAAAAATAATGGCAAGGAAAAAAAATCTGCACATGTTTAGTACAGATTCAGCTTTTTCCTTGAATATTTTCTATCCGTGATTGGTAATACATGAGAATGCGGAATCCACAGACACTGACAGCAAATTGTATATTCAGCCGCTCTATCAGTTAACGCCTAGAGCAAGGCTAAAACACGGCCATCTTACTGGTGGAGCACAACTAACAATGTTAGCTGTTAACTATTCAGAACGGGCCAATAAGAAACTTGTTGCTGAGCCTGAGATGGGGAGAAAAAGGTCATACTAATGATAGGAACATTCAGCATTCTAAGCTGTACATGGGACGCACTCTCAGGTCTACTTACATTACTTCACATTATTATCCCCACTGTATACATGAAGAAACTGAGGCTCATTGAGCAAACCCATCAATCTGCACCAGGCCTGTGGCAGAGCAATGGTTTGTGCCAGGGCTGTTTGATGCCGAAGGCGCTGCCCTAACAACTTCTCTGGACGCCCCCTTTGCATCTGTGTGCATCAAGGGAAATCTGGCTGTGGACATGACCGCTTGAGGGTCCTCACCTCCACGCCCAGGCATCCCCTAAAGAGAAGAGCTTGTGTGGGTGACACCTATTGTAGGTAGTGTAATGCCCCCCGAAGACCTCAGGCTCTAATCCTCAGAACCTGCGAATACAGCAGACCCTCCGAATCTGCAGATTTGACTTCAACAGATTCAACCAACCACCACACAGGAAATTTTGAGAAGAATTACATCTGTACTGAACTTATGCTTTCGAACCATTACTCCCCAAATAATACAATACTACAATGATTTACAGGGTATTTACACTGATTAGGTATTAGAAGTCCTCTAGAGATAATGTAAAGCAGATGGGAGGATGCCTGTAGGTTATATGCAAAAACTATGCCATTTTATACAAGGGACTTAAGTATCTATGAATTTTGGTATCTGTGGAGGTCCATGGACCAATCCCCCATGCATACAGAGGGACAAATGCATAATTAAAAATAAATGTCACCAGCACGTTGGCCACTTGTGGCTGTGAACATCTATTTTTGTTTGGCCGTCCTCCTGCCTCATACGCCGCCTCCTGCTAGTATCCTGTTCTTTCTCCCTTGCTTTACTCAAGCAGGTGGTCCTGTGGGATGCTTCTCCCTTCTTGATGTCTCTGTGTGGCATCCTCAGCCTGCATCTATCTATCCTCAGGAATCACAAAGTCATACGGCCTTAGGGTCGGCTGCAATGGTATCTGAACTCTAGCAGCAGCTGTAAGGTCTAGTACAAGTGACAAATCCGTGAAGCAGGGATACTGTGGGGGGACATATTTTGTAGTGTGTAACTGTGGCTCCTGGCTTATTACTCCCACAGCTTTTGTTATTTTCTAAGTCTGGATAAGGTCGGTATATGTTAGGTCTAGAAGAAGGGCTCAGAAAGCAACGTCTCTCTGACTCTTGCCCTCCTTCTACTTGTTCCTTTCTCGCCCCAAGGCAGGTCACAAGGTCTAGGACTTCTCTTCCTCATAGCAGGGCTTGGAAGCTAAAAATACACACACTACCTATTCCTGCTTGGGAGCTGCTGGCCATGAACTCTCTGATCTACTTTGATAGTAGGTCATAAGATCCCATCTCAGAAGGAGGGAAAGGCGCAAAGAGGCCAAGAATCTGACAGATAGGCCTTGTGGGGTCTCCCAACCCCGTCTACTAGCATCAGGTTAGATAGTCTTGGTCAACCACAATTCTACACTGTCCATGTTTCAGTCACGTCTATGTGGGCAAGGTAAGAATGCTTCTGGCCAGCTGAACGCTGGAAGCTCCTGGAGTGGGTATGTGAGCTCTGCCTTCCTCTCATACCGCTTGCCCTGTGCGTCTTTTCATCTTCATCCTTGGCAACAGCCTTTACAATAAACTGGTAAACATGTATCCCTGAGCTCTGTGAATTGCTCAAGCCAATTACTAGAACCCAAGGAGGAGGCTGTGGACACTCTACTTTATAGCTGGCTGGTCCAAAGCACAGGTTTCAGAAAGGATCTAGAGTTTGTGACAAGCACTGCAAGTAGAAAGGGACTGAGTCTTTGACTTATGGGATTTGACACTATCTCCAGGTAAAGAGCATTAGAGCTGTATTGGATTAGATAGAAGACAGTCAGCTGGTGTCTGGTGCAGAGCTGATTGCTTGCTTGTGGTGAAATCTCCACACCTTTGAGATCACAGAGGCGCTCTGTGCTGTGTGTATATAGGAGAACACACTGAGATTTAAGTAGGGCAAGGATTTCCCTCTAGATTTTTGGAGATAATAGTTCCTAGATTGCACAACTGAGATTTGGTTGACTAACACAGATCTCATGACTAACAGCGTGACTCAGGATAATACAAACATCGCCTTTCCCCCTTCTTTGAACATGGATGATTTCTAGGCTGCACAGGTCACGAGGCCCAACTGGCTCACAGTGGTCTTCTGATTAATATGACTAATGATAGCTTGATTCAGGATAACAGGCTAATGGTAATAGGATGTTGGAAACATCCTCTTTCTCCTGTTCTTTAGCCCTTAACTACTCACCTTTGGGGTATCAGAGCTTGGTGCCCAATGGCATAATTAGTCAATGCCACATTTTAGCCACAGGGAACCCAGCAGGAGACAGAGGAGCTGCTCACTCCCTGCTCCCTGCTCTGAAGGGAATGTAATTTGAGGGTGTTACTGTGCGCCAACAACTGCTTCAGGCTCTTCCTCATGTTATCTCATTTAACCCTAGCAGTGCCCTTTGGAGCAGGCTTTTATGTTTTGTAGATGTGAAAATTGAAGACGAAGTGACCTGGACCACAGAGCAGCATGGAGTTGAGGTGGAAATCCAGGTTAGGTGTCTCAATCACGCCACTCTCCCTCCAGTAACTTTGTGGCTGTTGGTCCATGTGCTGGGCGGGGGTGGGGAGTGAGGGCAGGGCATGTATCTGCTCAACCAGACCCTAGAGAGCTGAGCCTTCTGGAGACCCCCATTGGAAAGCAAAGGCCAGTTTCTAATGGGACTGCTTGCCTCTGTCTCCAAGTGGTTGTGAAGGAATGTGAATCTGAGGAGAGACTGGTAACACCTGATCCGGGATGCTGGTAAGCTGTGACCAAGTAGGTATTTGAGCCTTGGGATCAAACAGGCAGATCAGAGGCCTCAGCCAGATTGGGGGAGATAGACTGCTTACTTGTTTTTGAGTTCCCTTATGTTTCATGTGAGAGTGCCTTGGACAGCATGGAGGGTGGAGGGTGGTAGTCTAGGATCCTACCTGACTCATTTTTCTCAATGATGTCTACGACCTGTCCCACGCTGAGGCTGATCTCCGAGCTCTCTTGCTTCTGATAGTCTGCAACCACCACATACTGTTCTAGGACCATGGGGTCGACCGAGGCCAGATCCCCACCTGTAGGCAGCAAGGCAATCAGATGTCACATGTGGCCTCTAGCACTGCATGAAGGAGCCACGGGAGCAGTACAGGTCAGGAAACTTTTCAAATAAAGAGGCTCTTAGAAGACTTGTCCCAAGGGTGTCCCCGTCCACACATTTTTTTCATTCATTTGCTCACTCAGTCACCAAAATTTTCCAGGTGCCTCTTACTATACGATGTCTGCCGTCCCTAACGGCTTGCACCACCTGACTAGTTGTCATTTCTTACCATGGTGCTTTAAAAAATACCTACTCATTTGTTTCCTTGCTGTTTATTTTTCTGTCCTAGCATAAAAGCCCAGAAAGTTAGGAAATCAGTCTCTTCCGTATTACTGCTGTAGTTGTCCTGCCTGAAGGCTCATAGGCCTATGGTCTGTTTTTGTCCAAGGGCTGCTAAGAATGAAACATATATTATATATAATTATTATGTTATAATATATGTTAGAGTTGTTAAGAAAAAGAGGAGCTGTGAAACTGTCTCATTCATATTTATTTCTCAATAAAAAAATTAAAAAAATAAAAAAATCAATAAAATTATTAAAATATAAAAAAGAAGAAGAGAATGGGAAGAAAAGGAATAATAACAGTAATATAAGGTATTATTATTAGTGATGAAACTGTATGTGGCTTGTGGAGCATTTACTCTCTGGCCTTTTAGAATAGCGGCCAGTGCCTCTCCTAGGCCATGGACAACACCTAGTAATACTCAATAGGGCTGGGGGTGTAGCTCAGTGGTAGAGTACTTGCCTGTAGTGCACGAACCCATGAGTTCAAACCTCAGCAGTACAAAATTAAAAGAAAAAATGACTCCAATAAATAGTCTAATCAAAGAATCAATATTTTAAAACTCAGCTTTAAGTCATTTTCCTTACATTTTACTTTATTTATACATCTGTCTTTTCCATAAGACTGAGAATTCCCAATTCTTGTTTACCTCTGAATTCCCTGGGTACCTCGGGGCCTGCCAGGGACATAGTGGGTGCTCAATCAGTACTGAACACATAACTGTGTGTGCCTCCTTCACTTAGTACTGAGCACAGATGCTTTACAGACATTTGTGGAATGAGTGGAAATTTCTAGAAATGCTTCCTGCCCTAAAAGGGGCTCTGCTCCTCCTCCTGGAGTATCCCATGCTGAGAGCTATAAATAAGCACTTTCCCATCTATGGACAACCAGAGATTATTTCTTGCCTATAGAAGGAATGGCAGCTTTGGTTATGTGAGGATTCAAGTTCCTTGGCCCTATTGGTTCATTCATTTTTGCACCAATTTCTCTCTGAGCGAACTGTGTTGTCCTCACTCAGGGCACTTAACTTATCTAAATGGATGAAAAAAAGCTGGGTGTGGTAGTGGATGCCTACAATCCCAGTACAATGAATTTGAAGCCAACCTGAACTACACAATGAGATCTGGTTTCAAAAACAACCAACCAACTAATCAACCAACCAACCAATCAACCAACCAACCAACCAACCAATCAATCAACCAACCAACCAATCAGCCAACCAACCAACCGGCAACACCCCCCCCCCCTCAAATGATGAAAAAGCGAACCCAATTCATCTGATCACCAGGAGTCTTAAATTAGCTTTAGGACACTGGGGTGTTATGTGAGGACACCTACTGGTAGCATGTGATACTGCAGCCAAGCTCTACAATGCTTAACTCATTTCAATACCTCACAGTTGAGCCAGGCATCTAAGTTTTAGGAGTTGCCAAGTATGAAATCAAAGGCTTCCTAGGCAAGAAATGTCATATGTCCCAGCAGGAAATAAAAGAGAAGAAGGATATTTGACAGTGGAGGGGTGATTTTTATCATTAAGTGCTAAAAAATATTCAAGTGGCATAGAGCCTAATTTGCCACGTAAGTTTTCTATTTGGGTATTTTTTCCTTCATGATGACAAGTCTTGAATTTTTAAAATGAGTAGTGGCGAAGTGGAATTTTCCTTCCATAAATTCCTACACTGCTATGCTTGCTGAAAGAATCCATAAACCATAGACTACATCGAAAGTAAACGGCAGAACAATCAAGAAGAAAGATGCTCCTTGAGCCATAAGATGATCTGCTGTTCTGTGGTGAGATGTTTTTCTTGCAGGATGAGCAGAATCTGAGACCACTTTAGCCAGCATCTGTGGGAGCCAGCCAGCCAGACTGGGAAATCCTGGGGACAGACAGCCTTCTCCAGTAGGGTTCAGCCACAGAAATCACAGGAGTTACATCTGTTAGCCTTCAATCCCTCTTAAATTCAATGAAGGCCAGTTCTAAAATAAAGGTAGTGCTCAAAAGGTCAGATAAAAAATAAGGCCAAGCCCAGCATGGGCTCTCAGACTGAATGAAGAAAGATGCCATTTTCTACCAGGCTTAACTATAAATAAATCTGTCCCCCATCATTGCAGGTGAATGATGCCAACAGCAGTTGCCACAAATTAGAGCTGTGTCTCTCTTTTCCAGACAAGTCCCCTCATCAAGCCTATTTCAACCCAACACTTATGTTTGCACAAACCAGAGCCATCTCTTTCCCCTCTTCCCTTGCTCTCACCTCCCAGGAAAAGCCTCTGCACACTCAAAGCCAGGAACGCTGGCCCAGTTCGAGTGGCCGCTGCTCTCTGCTCTTTTCTAAGAAACATATAATTATCCCCAGGGCTCGAGAACTATTTGCAGTTTTAGCAGGATACCACGGCTCTGGCCAGTACCAATTAAACCAGAAAGAGAGCTGTACTCAGGCCATCTGAGCAAATGCCAGTGTTAATTCCAGATGCCCTCCCTAAGGTAGAGAGATCCAGCTCCTCTTCATACGCCCCTCCAAGATGGCCTTGATACCTGTAAAGCTGACCACAGGCCCAGGACCCAGGAGGCAACACAGAGACTGAATTCAGATCACTGGTCAGGAACATCAGTGTGCTCTAAGTAATAGCAGTAGTAATAAGAACAGCACCAAACATATATGACAATGTACTAGGTACTATTCTAAGTGCTTCATATGCATTATAAATACTATCACAATCTTCTAACCCAGATTGTTGCTTTTCTTTTTGTCTTTTTGAGACAGGATTTTACTATACAGTTCAGGCTGGCCTTGAACTTACTTTGCAGCCCAGGCTGGCCTCAAACATGCAATGATTTTCTTGCCTCAGCCTCCTCAGTGCTGGGATTACAGGAGTGTGCTGCTATGCTTGTCAAACTGAAGATTATTTTTAATCTTGATTTTACACATGAGGAAACTGAGGCCCCTGAAAGAAGTCATCTGTCCTTACTTTTGGGATTTCTGCTTATACTGCAGTCCTAGGAAACTAAAGAGGTTAGAATCCTGGAAATCCAAAGACTGCATTGGTCCTTGGTTTGGTACAGGCCAGAGCCTTTACAGATGAAGGGGACGCTCACAGGTGGTGAGAAGAAAAGGTGGGGAATGTTGTTGATCTAATTTGTTTTTTTCACTACTAGGGAATGAACTTGGGACCTTGCGCTTGCCAAGCAGGTGCTTATGCCCCTGAGCTATCTCCCTGGATGACTCTAATTTTTTTTTTTAAAGCCTAGTACAATCTCAAACACTGCTCTGAAATACCCAAATTCCTACCTTCTCTCTTTCCATAACTGCTTCTGATAGAAGAGCCATGTTGTTCAGGGAAGGGAAAGCTTGTTAGGAAGGAAGGGTCTGTCGCAGGGTGAGCGGCACGGAGCACAGGAATTGCTCCACAGTGTATCTATCGGTCACTGCCCGAACAGCAGCTGACCAAAGGCAGCACAGGGGCTGAGGCTGGGCGGGGGACGTCAAGATCAGAGCCAGGCTGCTGCTTGGTCCTACTTCCAGTCTCAGTGCATGCAGTCCAAAACGCTTTGTGTTACATGGAAACTTCTGCTTATTCCTCATGATCCACGTCTTTGCCTTCTGACTCAGAATCTGAGACGAATGCTAAGCTCCCACAGTTTTTTGTATAAAGTGGAACATGGGCATTCAGCCCCATAAAGGATGGTGGGAAGACATTGGTCTCTTCTATTCCCATCGCAGGGTCATCAACGCATTTGTAATTTCTTGATATAGGATAAACAACCCAAATCCTTCTTCCGGGAAACGTGGTTGAGGGGGGATATCAACCAAATAAGCATCCATCCATCCATCCATCCATCCACCCCCTCCCACCCACCCGTCCGGCTGTCCACCTGGCCATCGATCCGTCCACCCACCTCCCCACCCATACTGCTGCACCCCCAGTGGGAAACCCAACACATGATGTATGGCAGGCACTCAGTAGCAGTATGTTAAACACTGAACAAAAAAGATGGGAAATATTCTTACCAGATTTCTTTTTCCCAATGTGCTCCCTGTATAGAAACAACGGGGGCAAGAAAAAGAAATATGTCAGTATTGATTGCCCTGCATAGTCCACTAGGAAATGGATTCTTTACCCCACAATAGCATCAGTGGATGAATAGAAAAAACAAGCCACCCAAGGACCCAGGCTTCTTAGAAAAGGAAGAATTACCCTAAATTTTCTCCCTGTAGCTGAGAAGCACTCCAGTGTTATAGTGTCATGCAATCTGGAAGCAGGGATCAAAGCCTCACATTGCACAGAGCCAGAGCTAAGTAGGAGAATATAGACATGTCCTTGTACTTTGTCGTACAAGGCAGAGGTTCCTGTTCCACTTCTTGGGCTCCCCTCAGACACAGGTGGAGAACAAAGTGCTTAGCAGATGATAAAAGAAGTATAAACACACTACTGACAGCGGAAGTCTGGCAGCAGGGCACACAGCACATCTCCTTAGCCACGGCTGGCTAGAATTCACAGGGAATGACTAATGGCAGCACTTGTCAACCATGTTGAGATTAGGAATACAATTGCATTGCAAAGCACTTCGGAGTAAATGATCTGATTGGTAATGCAGTTTCAGTAGTTGGGTTGGGAGAGATGTTGTAGCAACAGTGGCATTATTTAGTAATTACTAAATGCAATGGCTGTGTGTTGAAATCCTGCTAGATATTTTTACTTCATTCATTTAATACAATACCCCCCAAAAAGAACTACTCTTTTATCTCTGTTCTGCAGATAAGGACAATGAGGTACAGGGAGTTAAGTGACTTGCCCAAGGGCACACAGCTAGCAGGTAGGATAAGCCAAAATCCAAATCCAGTTCTAATTCAAATTAACATGCCATAAAACTCATTTTTAAAAGTACACCATTCACTAGTTTTTAGTACAGTTACAAGGTTTTGCAATAATCACTATGAATCCCAAAACATTTCTGTCAACCCAGGAGAAACTCCATAGTCTTATGGAGTTGTATGACTATATGGTTGTGTCTGCTTGTGGAGTCCTCCCTCCTTCCAGCCCTCGACACCCGTAAGCCTGCTTGCTGTCTCTTGTGCTTTGCCTTCTCTGGGCATTTCATAGAGATGCAATCACAGCCCAGGTCGCTCTTTGTCTATTTTCTCCTACTTAGCAGGTTTTCCAGATTCATCCATATTGTGGCATGAATTAGTAAATTATTATTTTATTCCTTTTATGGATGAATAATATTCCTTTCCATGGATATACTACATCTTGGTTTTCTATTCACTAGCTGATGGGCATTTTTTCCCCCTCACTTTTTGGCTAGTATAGAAATGCTCTGTGAACATCCATCCTGAAGTTTTATGTGGACATGCTTCTTTTATTTGGTGGTCCGAGGGGCTTGTGAATACTAGACAAACGTTCTAGAGCTGAACTAATCTCCAGTCCTGTTTATTTTGGGACAAGTGCTCATTAGGTTGCCCGCAGTCCTTGAACTTACAATCCTCCTGCCTCAGGCCCCTCAGCAACCAGGATTGCAGGCTACATCACCATCCCGGGTTGGACACACATTTTTATTTCTTTTGGGTACATACTTAGAGGTGCAACTGCTGGGTCACAAGGGTTTAACTCCTTGGTGCTTCAATGAAATCTCAGCTGCACCATTCTAACACTAACAGTGCAGGAGGGTTCTGCTTTCTCTAGGTCCTGGACACGACTTGTTATCTGCCTTTGTGATTATGGCCCTGCTCACGGTGTGAAGGCACATTTCACTGTGGCTCGGGTTGCATCTCCTGATGCTATGATGCTGAGCGCTTCTGTGCGCACTTACAAGCCAGGTGTGTACGTTCCTATTCAGTGTCTCATTTTTAAAGTCTGGGTTTAACCACCATGTCATAATGCTGTAAGGCATCCTCAGGAGAGGGCAGCGAGCTAAACCAGCTCCAGGAGGCTGAGGCCACAGTCTGAGTGTCTGGGAGAGCAGCTGGCCCCAGCCAGGCCCTGGCGTGTGTGTGGGGGGGAGGAGGGGCAGCTGACCAGGTCATTCTCCAGCCAGGCACTGTCTCTAGGAGGCTCAACTTCACAGCCACTTTGCAAGAAAGGCAGGGGCAACAGTGGCATGTCTCTGTCATGTTTGTTGGCACTTGCTGTGTACGGAGAGACACTGAGGCCCAGAGAGGAGCTCCAGGATGGAACCTGGGCAGACTGGCTGGAGCCAGCCCTGGCCTCTCCGGTGGGCGGAGCCCCGCTCAGCTGCTGGTCGGAGATACACTGACTCAGGCCAACCCCAAAGGGCCATCCAGTTCTGCCATCTGACTCACGCACGGTCAGGGCTGCTGCTAGTCCTGGTTCTCCTCTGTCAAACGCCCTCCAAAAGCACTACTCAGAACCCACTGTTCCCCTCCTAGAAGAGGGCTGGAAAAGACCCAATTTCTACTTTGAGCCCTGACGTGGATATCAGCTTCCAGATCCTGACCATGACACCAACCCACTGAGCAGGTCACAACCTAACCCAACAACCCGGGCCCAGCTGAGACTGCCTGTCTAGGATGTCCTCAGGCACTCGACAACCCTCCCACCTTCCTTCCTCTTCCTTGAAGCCTGGACAGGAAGAGACCACCAGATGAATCCTGGCCACGTGGTGACATCATCTTTTGTGGCAAGAAACTGCTTAATCCTTCCAACAAAGATGTGAGCCAGGTTAGCAGCACCCACTTTACTGATGAGGAAATAGCGCAGAGATGTGAAGTCACTTGCCCAGGCCACACCGCTGGGAAGGGACAAAGAGATTTGAACTTTTCTTTTGAGGAAGGCCTTGGGAACCAGATACATATACTCTGTTCTCTGTGCTTTCTTTGGTACAGTCTAGGTTGGCTTTGTATTTGTACTGGGTAATGTGTGTGTGTTTGTCTATGTGTGTTCCCATGTCTACACAGCCTTTGCTACCACTGTGAAGTCTCACAGAGTAGGTGCTTTTTTGGCTTCTATCCTTTCTGAGGGAAGAACAGCAGGAAAGCGATCATTAAACGCTATTAGGAGTTTTTTGTTTTTTTAACTTACAGGACAAACAGATTTCTTCTAGCTGTTCAAAGTCTCCAAATTTGGAAAAAATTTTACTCTATACCTGCCTCAAAAAAAATTCTGATTTGGTGAGTAAATATTTATTTAGTTTCTGTATGAATGCTGTCTGCCCTTCTAGGCTTGAAAGCAATGAAATAAGTCATATTTGAAAAATGCTTGACTTCATAAAAATATAAAGGTTATATAAAATCCAGAGGTCATAAATATCAAGGAAAGAGACACATATGATACTGGTACAAACACGGCAAAGGCTAATCTTAAGATTCATTCCCTTATTTAGGTGCTGGTAATCAATCTCAGGGCTTTGGATGTGCTAAATGCATGCTCTAGTACTCAGCTATATACCTAGACTTGTTTTCTCTTTGACAAATTATAGTTGCTTATAATTATGGAACACATAGTAATGTTATGGCATATGTATGTCTCAATATTTCAAGTCTATGTAAATCAATAACAAAAACAGGGTTTTGCTGAAGACCAAGAGAAAACCAAGCAAAGAGATTTTCCCCTTCCAATTGGGATTATTCTGGATTCAGTGCCAAGCCATCTGGCACCTTTCCTAGTTTGAAAAAGGCCCATCAGAACTCAAAGGCACCTCTTCCCTCTTGAAGGAGGAACTGGGTGTGTTTTCATGTGGCTTTTGCACCCAGGTGGCAGTGGTGACAAGGTCTGGGGAATGCAGACACTCGGATGAGCTGACCTCGTCGACATGGGTCTCTGCCCAGAGATTTCTGGGGAGGGGGACCTACCTGGAAGGCCCCAAAAATCACAATCTCTCTTTAGTGGGACATCCACTCTGGTACCTAACTCAGTTCAGAGGCTTCAACAAACCAAGCACGCTAAATATTTTCTCTGTTACTGCTTCATGAAAGATTCAAGCATCTTGGCCCTGACATTATGAGGGAGAGCTGTGAAGATTGTGTACCTACATGTTAAGCAATGCATGTATGTTACATATATGTCTTACCACAGACCTACAAAGTACATATCATTGATCCCATTAGGACATGTGACTACTCCAAACTCTGAAATGTCTCAGATTAGGGACATTACTCAGCCTGTAGCTCCTAAGCACAACCAGCTCTGTGGCCGAGGCACTGCAGAGAATTTACTGCATAGTCCCTGCCTGCCAGGCTTCCAGTTTCCCGAGTTCCAACACCTCATGAGAAGTGCTGGAAGCCAGCGCAGAGTGTCATGGGTGCAGGGCCCTCTGCCAGGCACTCATCTGCCAAATAGGACCAGAGTTAACTGCTTGCACCCACGGAAGGCCACCTGCAGTGAGACCCTGAAGGGCTGAAACCCGGCTTTGTGCACGCTCTGCTCAACTCTGCCCTTGCTGGGGCTGGCTGGACCTCCAGGAGGGATGTGAGGGTGGCCTGGGGAGGGTCCCACACAAACTTACTCTTTGGGGGGGTTCAGGTCCTCGGGTCTTGTCTCAAAGAACTGTAGCACCTCCTCACACTGAGATATGTAGGGCGGCAGCTGGATCAGAGCCTGAGGAGGAGAGGCATATCCAGGTGAGTCTGAGGGTAGGAGGATGGAAAGTGTGGCGAGCTGCTGGTTCTTGACCATGGGCAGGCATCAGAATCACCCGGAGGGTGTGTTAGAATTCTGTCTGTGGGGCCCTGCCCCAGAGTTTCTGATTCAGTGGATCTGTGGTGGGGCCCAAGGATGTTCCCTGGTGATGCTGATGCTGTTGGTTTGGGGAACACACATGTGGATATGATTGAATGTGTGCGCACACACACACACACATGATAGATGTACATGCATACATAAATTATAGGCATATTTGTACAAATTATATATATTTATGCAATTTCAGACCATGCTGTTTTGCTAACAATAAACTGTGATCTTCATACATTTTCATTACACTATTGATTGCCTCTTATATAGATATTACCTATTTTAGTCACCTAGTCACCCACAGGGGGACATTTAGAGTATTTCCAACATGTGTGCATGAATGTCTTAACTCCTCAATGTGCAGCACTAGTGTGAAGAGACTCTTTTAGGATCTGAATAGAGGTTGGGTAGAAGTGTCCAGGTTAACCAAGGGCTAATGTGCTGGCCCTCCACCGGCCAATTTCATGATAATCTTGGTGCCACAGTGACTTAGCAGCTGGCCCATGATGGCGCCTCTGCCAACAGGCTGGGAGAGGCAAGTAGAGGGCACGAAGTGCAACGAGCATTGTTGTGCTGGCTTATGTTCCACAGGTATTCATTCAATGACTGGATGGGCATTTTCTTATTGTCCAGCACTGCACTGGTTTCTGCATGTAATACAAGAGGAATATAAGGGGCATCTTGCTCATTTAGGCATTTGAAGCTAAGATGTGGCTCCATCTTCAATATACAGATCAGTTTAACAAATATTAACCCCTCTGGTCCAGAACCTGGATAGGGAAGATGGGGACACAAACCCTAGTGCAGTAGAGCTGGTACCCACACACATGTTATTATAAACACATGTGCAGGGTGAACTTGCAAACACACATGACTTAAGGCAGGCTCTGCGGAGGCAGGACCCCGCCCTCTTCTAGTAGGCGTCACCTCTGGGCTTGGCATGACCTTCTTCTTCCCATGCTGGCTATGGGTCTGGGTGGAAGAGATACGTCTCTGTTTTCTATCTAACAGCTCTTGAAAACTCTTGGTTCTCACTCCCGCTCAAAAACTGATGTGTCAATCCTACAGGAGGTTCTGGCTTAGATGCCCAGTGAGAAGGGGTGAATGGAGGTCTCTATGTGGCCCCTTATATAGGGTTTTATGTGATTGTTCCCGATACAAAAATGTATTAAGTGCGATAAAATACACAGAGCACTACATTGGCCTCCTAACCATTTCCAAGAGCGTGGTTCAGGGGCATTAACACATTCACAGTGCAGCGCTGCCATCACCACCATCCACACCCAGAACACTTTCCATCCCGCAAACCAGAACCCCCAACCGTTGGACAGTAACCCCCTTTCCCACCACACTACTTTCTGTGGCTTTCCTACTGTAGGTACCTCACAGATGAGGAATCACATATGTGTCCTTTTGCAACCTGGTGATTTCTTTCAGCACTGAAGGGTTAGGCACGCTGCGGCATGTGTCACCATTTCTTCCCTTAGGCTATGTAATATATCATTGTGTGTGCACGTCATGCTTGACCACTCACCCACCAGTGGACCTTTGAAGCCGACCCTATGCGATTTCTGAATCTGGCTCTAACTTTAAGCTAAAGTGTGATCTGCTTCAGACTTAAAAGTGGAAAAAAACAATGAGGGAGGTGGATGGTTCTGTGGGGCAACTTCCCTGGTCACTGCCCCCTCTTCCCTCTTCCTGGGATGAAAGATGTGGACCTAAAGTGCTTGCTGATACTTTTCTGAGCCTGAGGCTGATCCCAGAGCAGGCACTTTCTTCTCCCACTTCCCATTCATTTCTGACCCTCCCTCTTTCTGGTTCCAGGCAGCTAGTAGTCACTCTCCTGTCCTGGACGAATTACTGTCTGGGGCTGCCATGGGTCTCTTTTTCCTCTTCTTATAGCTGGAACCCCATAACGAAGGGGCTGATTATACACTGTATGGTGGTGCATCCTGCCTGCTTGGTATACACATGTCTAAGGCTCCCCCAGACTGCAAAAACAACACCGTCTGAGGTTGCCTCAGCCCTTGGTAGCTCACCATATGCATGGTCTGTCACTTTATCATCCTAGGAGAGCTGGCTATTTTAAAGATGTGGTGACTTTGGTTTGAAAGTCTAGGACTGACCAAATGCAATCTACAGAACTAGGGGTACAGGGGCTGTCAGTGCTGGGAAGACTGATACAAGGTGGAAATGTTTGCTGGGTAAATGACATGCGCGAAGGCCCTGTGAGAGGAGACCTAGCATCTTGGCCTGAACTGGCCCTCCTGAATGCTCCTTGCTAAGAAGGGCAGAGGCCTCAACCAGACCAGTGAGGGAAGGGACAATGAACCCGTGGACACCTCCCAGCAGTGCCAAGTTCTCCTCTGGTGCTGAGCTATTCCTAGGAAGTAAAAGCCAAACCATACAATAAGCTGAGTTACTAAGAGAAGGCAGTGCCATGTGCTTTGGTGCTGCCCTGACATTCAGGATGGACTGGGTGATGGGAAAACATGACCTGGGGCCAGGGAGGAATTCTTCCAGAACACTCTAGGATCCGCCCGGGTTTAGTCAGTAGTGACAAAGCACCACAATCGTGGGAAAACTCAGCTCCGTTCAGGAAGGTACAGTGGCTCTTTGTACTGATGCGGCTGGTCCACGCAGGGCTGAGAGGGCAGCAAGCCCTGTTGGTGGGGGTAATGAAAGAGCAGAGGACAGAACCAGCTTCTGATTCCGGCTCTGTCACTTCCGAGCTATGTGAATCTGGCCAAGTCCTAGTACTTTCCTGAGACTCAATCTGCTCATCTGTAAGATGGAAACAACTAGTACCCATCTGGGAAGGCTGCGCTACAGCATACGCCAGAAAGTGGCTGTGTGGTTCCACCACGTACTGGATCAATTAACTCTTGGGCTCTTTGTCTAATAATACAGTGGTTCTCAAAGGCAATTTTAGAGCCAGTAAGATGATTCTGTTAAATAACAGTGCATGGGCTAAGAAAGCACGTGTTTCTCAGTTCTCTTGTAAGGCTCTTTAAGTCCAAAAACAATGCTCCAGGGAGTGTACACACCTCCAGCTTGCTTCCTAGAGGGGGCCAGCCTCTGTAGCCAGGGCAGCCAGGCAA